CCCCCAGCCGCTCCTCTGCCTTCCTCTTCACACCCACTCTGTGTTTCTTCTCTAGCTTAGCACAATTTCTGCTAGGCAAATTGAATGCAACTTCTAGTTTGTTAACAAAATCAGCTGTTCCAGGTTCTGTCACTACTGGTGGTGACAAATGCCCCTCCCTGGGATGGTCCCTTCTCTCTGCTCACGCCTTCAACCCGACGGCTCGTGTGCTCAGGGTCTGTGAAGAGCTCAGAGCTGTTGAAGTCCTTGGCAGCTCTCCCCCTGAGCTGTGTTCTCATAACAGCCCTTTCAGCTTCTTTTTTATTATTTTATTATTTATTTTATTTTTACAAACATTTTAATACTCAGTAAACCTATCTTGTGAGCTGCTACCAGTCTGAACCCCTCTGACACTGTTCTGTAACCTGTTTCCCTCTGCTTGGGAATTACTGGTAGTGTCCACATATGCTACGGTTAATAAAAGTTAGTTTGCAAGGAAACCTGCCACTGTATTTCCTGAATTTGCAAGGTGAAAGGAGCAGAAGGATAAGTTGTTATACTTTGAATCTCCCTGTTTTGCCCTAGAGCACACCAGCAACTAAGCTGAGACTTCATTTTGTGTACAGTCATAATACTGATCTGTCAGGTCTCCTGGCTGGGTGCAATCACAAGAGGTAGATGGGCGGTATGTTGAGGATAGCAGTGCTGTTTGGAGTAAAAATTACAGTTGGGATCTGGCTGCAATGAAGAAACTTGCTCGAATTCCCTCAGGACAGGCCTGGCACGGGGGACCTGCACAGACGTAAAGAGAGGAGAGATTTGGCTGGCAGCATCTTTATTACTAGTACTGATGCATGAGCCAGACTGGATTTCCCAATCCAAGACAGGCAGTCAGGGCTGGCAGTGAGCACAGCCCATCTTTTCCCCTCATCAGCCACAATAAATACAGAGCTCCCTGATGCCAGCTTACAAAGGAGCAGTTTTCAGTGCGCTTAGCACTCTTCAGACTTAAAACCCTAGCACTTCTGGGTTTAATGTGTTGAGGTCTGCTCCTTCTCTGGCTGTGCACTCACTGAAAACGCCTGCATGGCTGCCGAGGGTCAGTCCCCTGCCCACGGGCAGGGTGTGGAGCAGAGCTCTCGCTTTCAGTCAGCGGCACCAGGCGCACGGTTCAGATGAAGAAGCAGTTGTGAAACCTTGGGAATGCGGTAGCAGATGCCAGGTCACTGAAATGGGTGAACAACCAGTGGCAGCGATTCAAAACCCATCATGCTCCTTCATGCACCCCTCTGCAGGTCTCCAGGATCGCGAGTAGATCATAGTCTGCAATTGTTCCTCGTGGACATCTTCCCTCCACTCACTTCAGCTTGGGTTCGGATCCATTAGCCCTTGCCGATTGCTCCCAGTGAGGAGAGGGGCTGCTTTTGAGGAATGGCCTTGGAGCTGGGGACTATGTTTCAGGGAGCAGGAACTGCCTCCCAGTTTGTAGTGGCTTTGGTGAAGAGGCTGGTATATCATCTCCTCGGGAATGTTTTGCATGCCTTCCCACCGGTTTCTGGTGAATTCATTCAGTGTGAGGTGTTGCAAGCCCCCAGCCTTCTTCCCTGGCTACATAAATGCCCTGGCATCCTCCGCTTGAGCAGTGACAGGAACATCTCCCCACCATCTCAGAAACAGCTAGGTCCTTGGGCTGGCTCCTGGTTGTGTTCAAGCCCAGGCAGAGAAACCTGCCTTAAACGATCTACTGAAATTTGGAGTAATGTCTGCGCCACACCTGCTCTGTCAGGGTACCCAGGACTTCCTGCTGGAAAAACATGGGGTAGATTTGCCCACACATTTGTGCAAGTCACACATGCTGCAAGTTGTGGGCTACTACAAGCACTTCAAACAAGTGCTGACAACATGTCAGGCCCCAGCATAACTCTATGCAGACTGGCCAGGCTGGAGAAGCTCCTTAAAATAGCATTTACAGTGCGAATGGTGACAGAAGTTCAGCAGATGCCACTGTAATTACTGGTGCTTGCACAAAAGAAAGCAGTCTAATGGATGCTGCCTTCTCACTAAAGTGTTCAGGGAGTCACAGCATTTGAAGATCCTTAAAAAGCTGTTCTAGCAGCAAAAGGTGTAAAATGTCTGGGAGCCACGGAGAGTTGAAAGAGAGAAGAAAATTATTTAATAAAGGGTCATGGATTGGAGAATCTCTGGGTTTAATGGTTAAAGTCTCCCCTCAGCTGAAGCAGGGCTTGACTCAGGCTCAAAAGAAGGAAAATTGGAAAACCCTCCCAGAGAGAGGATTATTTGGTTCTGCTACACTTAAAGCACCCAGTGCTGCTGATTCGGGAGGCCATGTCTCATTGAGAAAAAAACAGGAGGTATGCTGGCAGCAACCTGTCATCCCCTTTCCCATCAGCTGAGGAGCTGCTTGCTGTCACTCTGACCTTAGGAAGGGGGCATCATTGAGCTGCAGATAGGTTGGGACAGCTTGGCTGGTGTTGCTATGGGCTAGCTTCTTCCAGATAGCAACAAGAGAAGTGTTTCCTAGCATCTAAAAGTACTGGGATGAAGATGCTGTTGAGAAACACACTGTCCATGTATGGTTTCTTTTAGAAGCCCACAGGACTAGAAGTACTAAAAGCAGGGAGGGGATGATGCGTGTGGCCAAAAAACCACCCCAGGCTACTTTGTAAGCACGCTTGCATTTATTGCCAAGCGGAGGCTGTAGCTACCGAGGACAGCATCACGTACACCCGTGAATGTGAGCAGCTTTAACTGTAAGCCAGGGTGGAGCAGGTAACAGAAGGAAAAATAAAACTGGTTGCAAGTTGCAGGCTACTTCCCCTGAGGGCTGCCCAAGCCCCTGCTACAGGAGCAGGAGGTCTTTGTGGTGGGCAGGAGTTTTTCATCAGCTGGAATTGGTTTCAGTCCCAGACATACCTTGGATCTAGTGCTTTAAAGTCTCACAAACTTCCTGGCCATAGGGGCTATTCACAGACTTTAAAGTGAACACCTGCTTAGGAGCTTTGTGCGGTCTGGCCTGCCTGCCAGAAGGGCAGCTCCTTTCCCACCCAGACCAGCACTGCTGGAGCGGTTCGGGCGGGGTAAGTGGCC